AGCGGTGCCACCTCCAATATGGCGGACGCACAGCCTCGTCACAGCAGCGGACCGACACAGTCAACGAGGATTCAGCGCACTCATTTGTATGTTGAGAAGGGTTATCTGCCGAATCAAAGTGGGCGTGTCAGAAGCATAAACACTGTGGGCTACGAGACCTACATGACTGTATCTTTAGATCCTGCTTGATCTCTATACAGCCTGACCCTGACTCCAAGGTTAACCAGGAGAAATGTGACCCAAGTAGGGTTCTCCAGAAAAAGTGGTGCCGTACAGTAACGCCCCTTTTTTGCTTGTCCAGTCAGGTGTGTCTCTTCAACAAAGTCCGTCAAATCAGGTGTGTTGCTTTAGAATCGCCTCTCCTTGTGACACGCCCATTTGCAGAGACCCCCTACTTGGGTCGCTTGAGCGATTTACTGYCTTTCGTCATCATTCTGCGACAGTTTCTTAGTCCGCTAGTAGCAACATGTGAAGGAATCATGAATTGACAGCTTTTCTGACATATAACTGTCTCTTTAGCAAATTTATTTAAAGTCAAAGCCGACATTTATGAGTACAAAAAGGCGACTTGCAGCTCCGTCTTGACGGATTAACTGGCTGAAAGTGAGGTAGCATAGCTTTACTCGCCTTTACTTTTCGGTTGTTTTGCTAGTGTTTAGCCAGCTAGCAGCATGGATAACACGGAGGGAAATGCTATTGAGCTCCACGGAGATGAGGAAATCATTGAAGTCATCGACCTGAACGACACAGAACCCTGTCCAGGTAGGGAGGAAGACGTAACGACTGTTTTTTTTTTTAACAATGCTGTATTTTCTTGGGACAGCCATGTTAACATTTCTGGGCGTTGCTTAACAGCAGTGTTCTCTTTCAGATGATTTAGCTGATGACTTGGGGGACGTTGACATTGAAGAACCTGGTGCAGCGGATGATGACGAAGGCTGGGAGACAGAGGATGAGATGGAAGCTGAGGCAGAGCAAGACGACAGCGAGCTCACCTTTTCCAAGCACACAGGTAAAAAAAAACCCACATGCACACGTGTGCTGCAGCCTCACTGTGAATTAAGGGTTTTCCCTCCTGTCCAGGCTGTGTGTTCTGCGTGAGCTTGGACCCGGCTACAAACAGCCTGGCGGTGACCGGAGGAGAGGACGACAAGGCGTATGTCTGGAGGCTGAGCGATGGAGAGGTTCTGCTGGAGTGCACGGGTCAGTGTCCAACTCACTAAAGCCTCAGATGTCTGCTGGAAAACAAACAAGGTTCAGCTGACTTGGTGCAATTCATGCTCTCTGTCAGTCTTGTGTTTATTAGCAGTACTTGGGCCAACCTCAAGTCATAATTGAAATGTCATATTTTCATATTTAGACCCAGATTAAATGGGATTTACAGTGGGGAGATCAACTATTTGATACACTGTTGATTTTTCAGGTTTTCCCACTTGCAAAGCTTGTAGATGACTGTAATTT